CCCACACACACACACACACACACACACACACACACACACACACACACACACACACACACACACACACACACACACACACACACACGCCTGGCTTCTCCTTTGGACACAGGCACTTGCTGAACTGCAGAATGTTCAATAAACCAGTGGAGGAATTCAACTGAGTCAACAGTGTGTGTGTGTGTGTGTGTGTGTGTGTGTGTGTGTGTGTGTGTGTTGAGAGCAGAACAGAGTGGTGTCTGTCACAGGGCAGTCCTGAGTAAACACACACACACTCTCTCTCCCCCTCTCCTTAGGAACTACCTGCCCACAAATGCACAGAACCCAGCTGCTATGGCAACAGAAACCTTCTCACTCTCACATGTACCGAGACAAACAAACAAACACACACACACACACACACACACACACACACACACACACACACACACACACACACACACACACTTGACCTTCACATTTTAAGGGGGTGATGCAGTGCTTCTTCTAAACACTACTTATGATGTATTTATTTTCCCTGAGAGGAAACACATTACAGGCTCTTCGAATCTATCATGATTACAAAAACAATCAAACTAAACAACAGTAGTCATATCTGAGCCAACCATTGAATATATAATACCAATACCATCAAGTAAGCCATGAACAATACCAAGAGTCTGCTAGACAATCTGGCTAGAACTCTGTAAAGGTTGAGATAGTGAAGTTATACTGTACAGGGAACTATACCAGGCAGTGTCCCAAAAAGCTATGCACTAACCATAAAAGGGTTACATTGCCCTAACAGGTGCAATATGAAGAGAGTGAGGCCAATGTCAATCAAGCACAGTTTGTACACACCTGTGCAATGCAAATGGGCTTTAATATTTGACTGTCATTGTGTTTTGGTTCCATAGTAAACAATAAAGGCTGTTGATGTAAATTAAAAAACAAAGTTAACCCAGGTGAGCATGTACAGCATGCCTGTTGATGTACACTATTGACAAGTAAAATAAAGAAGCTAATATAATTTGATGCAGAAAATTGTAGAGTAGGAAAACAAAATGAACATTGATTAAATATATTGGCAGTGCCAGTGCCTAGGGCTTTGGGCAGTGCTATAACGATGGTCCGATTAATGTTGTATTGTGTAATAAACCTCTCAACTATGTTGAAAAACTCTCACCTAGCAATAGTCGGTAGTTAATAGTCCTCCTCCGTATAACACAAGTGCTGTTTTGTTTCATTATTCATTTAAAACAGGCCAAGCTCAAACTTTTGCTGTGGAAAATCGTGTGTGCTGCAGGCGTGCCTGCCTGTACCGTGCGTTAAAAAAAACGTCGAACGTAAACCAGAAGTGACGTAATCTCCGTTCCCCTACCTCCGTGTTGCACGTGTGTTTACAAAAAATGTGGACGATTGAGCTGAATCAGTGATAGTATTAATATTATTTAAACACAGTTGCTCTTGACCGGATTAAACATGGGGAAGCTTAATGTCGTGGTGTTGAGATACTTAACTCGAGATGACTTCCGGGTCCTCACAGCGGTAAGTAGTGAGCTAGCTACTAGCTAACTGTTCTGTGTTAGCTGAGTTAGCCTGTGCTAGGCTAGCTTTCCAATGTAACGCTTTAATACACGAACTAATGTTGTCAGCAACTTATTAACGAGTTGTCAAAATGTAGCTTGACGTTATTACCCTGTTGTATTGGTTCAAATAAAGTCTGTGTTGTCAGGGTGTTTTTGTCAAAAGTAATATTTTTTTAGTTTGGTCCGATTCGGTCCCATCAGTCTCTTCTCTGTTAGTGTGTCCTTGATCCAGCTGTTAATATCGAGTTTCATATATTATTTGGATGAAACAGTTTATTTTTCGAATGATTTTAATATATTAAAGTAAGACATCTTGCTGATGTATTCGTTTAAGTGAGTCTCTGCTTACAAGTACCCACTTATATATTGGTAATCATTTAATCCTATTCCAAAATCAAGTTGAATTTATAAGTGGAAATTACTTTTTGAATCCTACACTTAAATCAGTATTTCATTATAAAACAGCACAGTTTCACATAATTGACTTAACAATACTTATTAAGATTTTCCCTTTCAGTAACACTGTTTCTGAGAGCAGGCTTGAATTCCAGCACACTTCGCAGTATTTTTCTGATTCATCCTGTGATTTTCCCCTAACACAGGTTGAGATGGGGATGAAGAACCATGAGATCGTCCCAGTGAGTCTCCTGTCCTCCATCGCTAGCCTTAAACACGGCGGCTGCAACAAGATCCTCAGAGAGCTCGTCAAACACAAGCTTGTGGCCTATGAACGCAGCAGGGGTAAGAAAACACAGACATACTTGCTGAACATTCATAGTCCTGCTACATGTTATATTTTCTAATGCATCCTGTATATGTTGATTTCAGCTGTGCAGGGTTACAGGCTGAACAATGGAGGATATGACTACTTGGCTCTGAAGACCTTGTGCTCCAGAGAAGTGCTCATTTCAGTTGGAAACCAGATGGGTGTTGGTAAAGAGTCTGGTAAGAAGTGGCAAACACCTCTCATTTGGCGTGCATGTTTCATTTGAAATAAATTGCAAGACGTTCTCTATTTATTTAGATATGCATGATAATGGTTAACATAAGCAAATATTTCTCATCTTAATTTACATTCATCCACAAGAATCACACACTCATTTCTAAATGATAAGGCACATTTTTAAAATAGATGAAAACAAAATGTCCTGAAACCTTACCATAAAACATGTGTGTTCTAACCCCGGGATTCCACCGGGTCCGTCTGCGCTGTGCGGCGCGTTTTTTTTTCCGACCTCCTACAGCGGCAAACCCCACTGGGCGTGTTTCAGAAGCGGAGCGTCTTGCGTGCCGGCTCGCAGTTTTTGTTGATTTGGGCATAATTCCTGGACAGGCTACTTTGTACAGACGAAGTTAATAATAATTGTAATAGTCCAGTTATAAACGACATGAATCAAAGATGTGTTGCTGTATTTTAGTGGTAAAAAAATGCATTCATCATCATAATTATTCTATATATATATAATTTACACAGTGCCTGTAAACCGGAGGAGAACGCTGGCATTTATTCTCCTACTTGAAATACTATGGAGGCATAGGGTCTGCAAAATACGTTTATTTTGGGGATTGACTGGATGCTCTGAACGTTCCACTTCCTGCTCGGCGCTATGCAAAGGCTCGCGTAAAATAATAGACCAGCCGCCTATTTTTAGCGGAGCCCAGCGCAGAGACGCTTCTGAGCCGTAACGCGGCACGTCTGGTGGAATAGCACCCATTGACTAGAGTGGCCGCGAGTGATGTGAACGCAGCCGTAACGCCGCGCAGACGGACCCGGTGGAATCAAGGGGTAACGGAATAGTTCAAATAAAATCTAACTGTTTTCTGCGCTATTGTATTTGATATTTTTCTGCTACAAATTCAATTGTAGATGGAAGTTGCTTTTTATATCCATAATTATAAAGAAATACTGGGAAGTCTTTTTAACCGCGGTGTTTTAAAAGACAGTAGTCTAACTCGGCAGCAGATTATGATTCCTTGCGTGTCGATGTGAGCGGCATCTGTTCTCTGTCATGTTGCCAGGAGTCAGAAATTCTCATGTTCATAGAAACATTTGATTGTGCTCCCTCCTTTTAGATATTTATATTGTGGCGAGTCCCAACGACGAGCAGTACGCTCTGAAGCTTCACAGGTTGGGTCGTACCTCCTTCAGGAACCTGAAGAACAAGAGAGATTATCACCAGCACAGGAAGAACGTGTCCTGGCTCTACCTCTCTCGGCTTTCTGCCATGAAGGAGTATGCCTACATGAAGGTATGTGGACAAATCAAAAAAGGTTCCACTTCCTACGATATGAAGTAGAATTTTGTGTGCAGCATCTTTTGAGTCCTTTTTTCTCATTTATTTTAGGTATTGTACGAACGGGGCTTTCCCGTTCCCAAACCTGTGGACTATAACAGACATGCAATAGTGATGGAGTTCATCAATGGATATCCGCTGTAAGTAAACAAGCCATTCTTCTCTCTTACTTTATATATAACACTAACGAAAGCATTCTTTTCCTGGTCTCTTTTCCGAATATGAAATGTTTGTATTGTTTGTGTGATGTCTTTCAGGTGTCAGGTGCATAAGCTGGAGGATCCATCACACCTGTATAATGAGTTCATGGAGCTCATTGTCAAACTGGCCAATCACGGCCTGATCCATGGAGACTTCAACGAGTTCAACCTCATGCTGGACGACCACGACCACATCACTATGATCGACTTTCCTCAAATGGTGTCCACCTCGCATTTAAATGCTGAATGGTTCGTTACTGTGACAATTTGGAAAATAAATGAACACCTATAATTAATGAAACAAAACAAAATGTTGTTTTTTTTTGTTCACTTTTCATATCTTTCTTTATAGGTATTTTGACAGAGATGTCAAATGCATCAGAGATTTCTTCGCCAGAAGATACAATTACGAGAGTGAGCTCTACCCAACATTCAAAGACGTCAGGTAAATTATACTTTATATTTATGTTCCGTTGCCAATAAAATTACTGAAATGCATCAAAAAGATTCTTGTTTGTGTTATTTCGAAATGCATTTAAGCTATTATAGCAACCATGGGAACATGTTGTCTGCAATTATTTATAAAAACGTGATTTGCAAATAAAAAGCAAACCTTAGTTGATCTTCTGTGTCATTGTTTATTCCTACAGGCGATCTTGTTCTCTAGATATCGAAGTATCAGCTAGCGGCTTCACCAAAGACATGGAGAGAGATAGTGCATTGCTTCACCCAGCAGGGCCCGATGAAGAGGACGACGATGACGAGGAGGAGAGTGATGACGAAGAGGCAACAGACGAGGAGGAAGAAGAGGAAGTGGACATGGATGAATATAAACATGCAATGCTGGAACTAGAAGGTCTGAAAATCAGCGACCCCACTGCAGACAAACACGAAGAGCAGAGCGAGAAAGAGGAAGAACCAAAAGAGACTGAGACAACGCCGCCTGCTGTAGGAGATGAAGAGGAAGAACCAAAAGAGACGGAGACAACATCTCCTGCTGTAGGAGATGAAGAGCCAGGGAAAGACTTGGAAAAAGAGTTGAGCGAGGCAGAGGATGAGTGTACAGAGCTGGGAGACCTTTCTGCTGCTAACAAAGACTTCAAACCCTTCAGGTAAACAAAACAAAAAAAGTTAGCATGTCCAATATCCAAAATGATGTATATTTCCTAAAATAAGTTTGAATACCTCACCTGTAGCTGCCACAAAGTCAACACATATTTTAAGTTTTGATTAATAGGAATGGCTGGTTACTAGGGGTGTAACGGTACCCGTACCCTTACCGAAATTATTCGGTACGGGCCCTTCGGTTCGGTACACGTGTGTACCGAAGTGTACCGAACGAATATAACGTTAAACGTGAAAAATTGAGAACGTGAACAACTTTTTGGAAGTAATCTCAGATGCTACGTCGCAGCATTCAGAGTAATTTTCTCACATTGGGTTCAACGCGTCATAGAGCGAGCAAGTCATTTAATTGGACGAGAGGCATACTATGAAAGCAGGGATGCGTTCAAATGTAGTCAGTAATTTGAGTAACTGTCGAAATGGCGAACGCAGATCAAGTTGAGCTTGAAAATCCTCCAGCATCATTGAAGTCTCCGGTTTGGGAACATTTTGGTTTCGCAGTTACGTACAAGGATGACGGACAAATACAGGTGGACCGAACCAAAGCTGTTTGTCGGCATTGTTCAACTAAAATTGGTTACACGGCTGGCAATAAATCAAACTTGCACACTCATTTGAAAAGGCATCACCCGAACGTGAATATCACCGGTACCAAAATAAAAAAGACTGAAGTGCAAACCCAACTCCACTAGCATTTAAGCCTCCACCACTCGCAGAAAGTTCAGACCGAGCCAAAGCTATTACAAACGCCAAATATCCTTATGTTGCCATGTTAGCAAAGCGCTACCTGGCTGTATCTGCTACCTCTGTCCCTAGCGAGAGGGTGTTCTCCACAGCAGGAGACATTGTTAGTACCAGCAGATCTGCCCTTTCGGCAAGCAATGTGGACAAGTTCATTTTTCTTTATAAAAAAACATGAAAATACAATGACAAGCAAGTCATAATGTCAAACTGGCTGCTTAGGTACTAGTACAGTACAGTTCAAATACAGATTATTTCAGTTCATCGAAATGCTGCACCTTAATGTTTATTTTATTATATTTTATATTTATTTGAGTGAATATTCAGTTTAATAATAATTAAAAACCCAAAACTAATAGTTTATGTTTTGTGAGTATTAGTACAGTAAAGTTCAAATACAGAATATTTCAGTTCATCGAAATGATGCACCTTAATGTTTATTTTATTATATTTTGTATTTATTTGACTGAATACATTATTCACAGTTTAATAATTTAAAGAAATATATATATATTTTATGTTTTGTGATAATTTTTTCTGCTGTAATGAAAACGAACCGAACCGTGACCTAAAAACCGAGGTACTTCCCGAACCGAAATGTTCGTGAACCGTTACACCCCTACTGGTAACTGACTTTCATTTAGTTCTGCTGTTAAACTCATTGCAATTTCTTTTACTGTGTTTTTTCCTGCAGAGACTCAGACAGTCTTCTACAGATGGCAGAGCACATGAGGAGGAGGAGGACAGACAGCGAGGGCACGATGGGCAGCATGGGGAGCTGTTCTACAATACCACTAGTAAGTCAACCACAGAAACACAGCTTTAGCAAAGTGTATTAGAAATGGGTCAGGTTGGGAGACAGTACCATTATCAAGAAACACTGAGAATAATTTATCACTACAACTTTCTTGACAAAAACGTTGATGTCCTGTAGGTGTTGCTAAAGAGCTTTCATGGTGTTGCAGTTTGTCAGAGAAAACGTGTCTGGATACTGTTGTGTCTGCCTAGCACAGACATAAAGCTCAAACATTGGTCCGTAGTAACCTGCTTTTGTTTGGTGTGTGCCGCAGGAGGTTGTCCGTCAGAAGGTGCGGAGGCAGCTCTCCAAACAGCAGAAGGCATCGCAGAGGAGACGCCTGCAGAAGGGAGAGGCCAACCTGGTGACCAGTGTCAAGAGAGAGAACGACAGCAACATCAAGTGTAGTATGGAGTCCGACTCCTTCTGGGGATAAATGGCAGTCCAGAGATGCACAGACCAGATTCATATCAACAAGTCTGTTGCATTGTCCCTGCTTCTGTGTCTGATGAGTTGAAAACAAATGAAATTGGATGGAAAATCTCAGCAGGAGAGTTTCTGCAGCAAATCAACTGTCCTGTACACAAAAGAAGACTGAAAACAAAGTGCATGTATTCAGCAAATCATCACACTGACCAGTAAGAAGACTTTTCTGTTTGAACTGTAGTGAACTACCTTGTTCAACATACAGTGTAATGTAAATATCAACTACTTTTAATGAAGCTGTATGTTTGATAATAAACCCATTTAAACCTTACTGATAAGGTGTGTTTATCTCCTGTTTGTTCAAAAAGATTGGTACATTAAAAAAAAAGGTCAAAACATGAAATGCACCTGTGCTAAACAGCTTTTCTAGTCAAGTGAGCTCCTTTTTATTTGATACTCGCATATATATTCTCATGGTGGCAACAAAAGACAGAGGCCTATAGAGTAACTTTTACTATTATTGTGATTTCAAGTTCATGTTTATTGCTGACCAAGTTACTCAAATGGATTTAAGAAACGGATTGCACGTTCCTGAAGAGCTTTTATTTATCCTAAACTCTAGTGGTCCAAAGGTCTCCCAACTATTATGGTAGTTTGAAAAGATTCCTAACTCCACCCTTCGTGCATCCAATCAAAAACAAGCAGGTCCTGACACACGATTGGGAATGCTTCATAACACAACACTACTAAAAGCATTACATAAACACACATCCCTTTCCCCTTCACATGGACACAACCTAGCTGAGACATAACATGTAGAAGAGGAGAAGGCAGAGGACTGAGAGCTGAGAAACTACTCGGACTAAGAATTTGGTTCATTTATTAGAGAGCGGCTTTCAGAGCAAGTGAATTCAGGCTTCAACAAAGGTTATTCAAATTGAAGAGGGTGAATGGAGCTCAGACCCTGGACTTCATGGGCTCAAATTAGTGTGCGAAGTCAAAAGTATCCCACCCCCACACATCTTAAACACTCATTTTGGGTAGAATTGTCTCCAATGTTATGAACACTGAGGGTATTTCATATAAAAAGGAACACCCAGTCACCTTTCCACAGACATTTTTTACTTTCCCTCAAGGTGCCACATTGTGCCATCTGTGGTTCAACTTGGCCACTCTGTGCAGGTCTCTAACTGCTCGACTCTGTTCAGGGATTAGCCAGCTGCACGGCCCGAGGGGAGGGGCTCAGCATTCCAGCCAAGCACCTCTGTGAATATGTGTGTGTGTGTGTGGGTGCATGTGTAGAAAGAGTGAGGGGCCCTCTGAGCTAATTGGCAGTGAGGTTGACAAAGGTGGTCCGCTTCAAAAGAGAAACCCTGGTGAGATGTTCACACAGGAGAAGGGGAGGGGAATACGGGAGAGTAAGAGGGGATTTCAGATGTGGAGTTTATTCCTCATGGTCTTCCCATCCTGAGTTGTGATGGCGGTCGTCGTTGGTCATTCCCAGGGACATATGTGCTGTTTGGATGGATCTTTTTTATGAGAGATAAAGGATTTATTGAGGCAGCTGTGAAAGCAAACTGGATGGAGATGAGTCAAGTGGAAGTGGAGGAGAGCATCATGTCATACCTGTCACACAGCGAGACTGACGCCAGCCCCAAAGACTGTGAGTAACTCAGAAGCTTTGTGAGAGACTTGATTTTTTTTTACAGGAAATAAACAATTTATTTTAGATATTAAACTCTTAAAATTGTAACAGGTGTGTTTTCAACTGATGTTATCGGTATGGGAGTAGTTTTATCATGACTTTGTTATGTTCCTAAAACAAATATCCATCAACGTATCACTGCTACAAAAGACTTTACTGCAGTGAATACTTTAGAACAAAGCGAAGGACACAGAAAACCCTTAAAGCTATTTCAGGGTCAGAACAATCTAAAAGGGTTGCACAATTCAGATTTGTTTAAGTTACAGGGTGGCGCTTACCGCTCCTTGATCTACTTAAATAAACACTGTCTGGGATTTAAACTTGTATATTGATGTTAGCCTTCATACAGAGTCCCCCATGTTTACTCAGTGAGCCAAAAATAAAGCTTTTACTCATGATGATAACAAAGTAGTAATATTACGTAATCATAATTATTAAGTTGGGATCATGTTCTCTTCAACAGTTTTCTTTGGGTTTTGGTTTGCTTCATTTCTGTCCTTGTCCTTATTATATGTGTCCTTATTATACGTGTGTGCAGTGAATGTGGTGGCGATGCTCCATAACTTCTGGGAGCAGAGGCAGACGACTCAGTCCAACGGTTCCTCTGATGAATCAGACGGTTCTGTTGGGGAAGCCCCCGTCCACACTGAGAGCTTACTGCTGTACGAGTCTGCTGCGTCCCCCGGCCCACCATACGTCTGCTATGTGACCCTGCCTGGAGGAAGCTGCTTTGGGAACTATAAGGTGTGTTTAGTATCATCTCTGCTGCCTGTTGCCTTGGTAGTGGGGGTATCACAGTATAATATGAACAATTGATATCATGAGGAGACGGAACAAACACTCACAGCAAATGGAAAACAAGCATTACATTCAATTATCCTCTGCCTCCTAAATCATTTCATTTAAAAAGAGATTTTTTAGACTTTTAATGTTATTTTGGAGACAAAATGCACAAAAAACAAAGGTAACAATGAATTTGACTGAAATGTAAGATGACGTGCCCTTTCTTAGTAGTTCCAACATCTACACTGTATCAATGATGTCATATGTCTTAGTCAAAAACCTAGTCAATAATAAGCTACTATTTAGCTATTTCAAGATACATGATGCAGGTGATATTTCTGTCTCGATGGTTAAATTGCAGCGTGCGTTGAAACCAGAACATTAGTTGGAAATGTATAATCAATAATCATAACTTCTTATTCTAAGTAAATAGCTAAATGGCTGTAGCACTTTGCAGTTGTTTCTGTTCATTTTGCTGCAGCCGTCCCAGTAACAAGTTTTCTTACAAACTTTATTTTTTCTTGTTTTATAATCAACTTTCACATTAAGAGGTACAGTAAGCGCTGTTAAGCAAGAGTTGAAGGAGATTTGGTGGGGATAAGCACACAGTCACACACACTTTTGAGGTGGTTTTAAATTGATGTCATTCGGTTTCTGTTTCCAACAATGCCTCTCATTGTGACCCAGACGCAGCCCCCAGCTCAGAGGAGGCACATGATTGGTTATCTGTGAATGCCTTTTATGTTCTAATCTCGTTGGTGAATTGAGTTCTGATCCCATGATTAGCTGTAATGAAGTGTAAAATCATCTAAATGTAGCCGAGAGTAGGCGCCCTTTTACTGACAGGACTCAATCAGAAAACCTCAGGCTCAGTAAACCGAGAAACTTTAGTTTAAAATGACAAAAGTTAGTCAAGTCAAAGTCATCTTTATTGTCAATCTTTCAGTTTGTGTGTACAGACTGAGAGATCGAAATACCGTTTCCCACAATCCCGAATACAAAAACAAAATATATAAAAACATGTATGCAAGTGTGTATATACCTGTATATACACAATGAAAAGACACATTTATACATATGCACACATTAAGACCTAAATAAAAGCACAACAATCAATATATACAAAATAACAGTCACTTTAATATCTTTGAGAATGTACATTAGTGCAAGACTGTCTATAGCAGCGTAAAAAAACATGTGGTGCTGGTTACATATTTTTCTCACTCTTCGTACAGGTGTGTGACACCCAGGCAGAGGCTCGGCGGGACGCAGCTCGCGTGGCTCTGATGAACTCTCTTGTGAACGAGCTGCCGTGTCGGCGCATCAACCCTCAGTTCATCACTCACAGTTTGGAGCAGGCGGCCACAGACAGTGCTGTGAGCAAACACATTATTACAACTTAATACAAGAATTCAATATCAAGATGAATGTTGATCTTCACTGTTGTCTCTGTTCAGGTCACTATGGAGGATTCTTGTGATTCAAGCACCAGTATAGGAACCTACCGTTTGCTGCTTCATTCCTACAAAGGAAAGACAATGTTGGAGTTTCAGGTAAAACATAAAGCCACGGCTGATTTATCAAAATGCTATTTTTCTTGTTTCTGTCCTCATAAATCATGTGATAATTGCGTGTACTATCACTTTACTTCAAAGGATTCGGGCTTTGTAAGCAGGTACTTTTCTGCTCGGTTATCTTGAATAGTTTATTTATAATTATAATTACATGTTTAGCTTTAAAATGTAACATGACGTGGGTATTATAATGCTAAACACAACAAGAATCTCAACCAATGGGTGGTAATTATACCCACCAGTGTTATTATTAACCCCCCAATTATGTTTTTGCTCATTTCTCCTTCTCCATTTCACTGTGTTAGACCCAGGCATGGTATGAAACACCATATATTTCTAGCTTTGTGTAAATAAACATAAGCAGTGTGCAGGCAGAGGGTTATTAGCTGGAGGAAATGGGTTCATTATCATTCCATGGATCATAGAGATGAAGACTTTTTAAGGAATACACACACCTTCATGACAGACAATGAAATGTTTTGACACAAACATTTAAATCTCTCCAGACACAGCATCAATAATACGGTATGCAGCTCTCAGGGCTTCAGATAAGTTATACATGCAGATAATCCAGGGAGGGTTCAACAGTTTGGTAGTCATGCAGAATCATAAAGTAGCATAGGGCCGATGCACCGTTGTAAACAGAGCAAAAAGGCCAGCTGATACAACATGGACCTCAACCCCAGACAACGTACAGTATGTGTCATATTCAGTGTTGGAAAGCTTCTTTGAAATGATGGCCTTTTAATTACTTCACATAGTATATTCGAGCAAAGTTACCATAGGCTAAAACTCTGGCTTCTTTTACAAAAGTAGTTCAAACTAAATAAAAGTCACAGGCCAGCAGAAGAAGCCTCCAAATTGATTTTATTTTCAAAATTGATATCCAGGTCTTATATAAACCAAAAAACTGCATTTAATTTCAACGTTTTTAAGCCGCTTGACCAACTTGAGCACTGGCCTAAAAAAATAAGTTTTGTAACATCTGACTTCTTAAAAAAACGGTTTTCCCCTTGAACCTTTGTAACATTATAAACAGCTTGAACTTTGGTCTCAATAAAAATATATTTGTCCTGTTCAGAGCAGAATTAAAGAGGGTCAATTACAGTACAGTAAAACATTTAATTAAAATGGTTTCCATTTATGCCCCACACATTTGTTTGTAGGTGAAGGAAATATAAACCAGCAAGCCAAATACAGTTAACCTACTAGTTTAGTTACATGTGGTTCACTACTTCCTAAAATTGGTAATATATTCCATCTGTGTTTCATGACATACATTTGTGTTAATGTACAGACTTTCTCTGTTAAACACTAAAGTCATTAGCTCCCAACACAGGGCAGCTGTGTTTTATAAATCGGGGGTAAAACCTACCTGGTGCATAAAGATTTACAACATCTTTTCAGACCAATCATTCACAGTTTAGGTGTGCGTTCAAGAAATACTGATAATATGTATCTTTGTCAGACCTGCATACACAGAGCTGGATGTTTGGGTTTGTTATTCACGTCATTAATCATGTGGTTGCACAAGACTCTCTCTCTCTCTCTCTGTGTGTCTAATGACCCACCTCCCCCCCCTCTCTTTCCCTGTATAGGAAATGATGACAATTTTCCAGTTGTTGCAGTGGAACGGGACACTGAAGGCTCTTAGGGAGAGGCAGTGCTCTCGGCAGGTACAGGTTTTGAGGATATCTTATCCCTGGTTTCAGTTCACTTAAAAAAACACAGGGTATCATAGACATACAGAATAATGTAGACGTGACGTTAGTGAGAATGGATTTATCGCTACTTTAATACATGGGAATAAGTTGTGTTGAAGTAGGGCAGAGGTGGGAGAAGTACTCAGATCTTGTACTGAAGTAAAAGTCGAAGTACCAGAGTGTAGGAATACTCTGTTACAAGTAAAAGTCCTGCATTCAAAATGTTTCTCAAGTAAAAACACAAAAGTATAAGCATCTAAATATACTTAAAGTACCAAAAGGAAAAGTTCTATTGTGCATTTGTGCAGAGTGGCCCATTTCAGAATAATATATATGATATTTTTTCATTATAAATATGTATGCATTGAAGTGTTGTCAAAGCTGGTAAAGGTGCAGCTAGTTTGAGTAATTAATACATTGTTTGCTGCAGGGTAGTTAATGGATTTTCTCCAGGTGTAACTAAAGTATTTTTAAAGTGTTGATTATATATTTCACATGATTGATCAAACGTGTAAAGTAACCAAAGGTATTACAAAAATGTAGTGGAGTAAAAGTACATGACTTATCTCTGGATTGTAGTAGAGTAGAAGTATAAGTAGCAAATTATTGAAATACTCAAGTGGAGTAAAAATCCCTCAAAATTGTACTTAAGTACAGTATTTGAGTACATCAACCTAGTAACTTTACACCACTGGATGCTGCATACTGATTATTGATTATGTTATTTCCTTCCTCTCAGAGTGTGATATCCTATTACTCCCAGAGAGGACTTGATGAGTACATGCGCAGCAGCATGGCTCTGGATTGGCTGGGGCGGGAGCAGAGGTCAGCGGGGCGCCTGGGGGAGGAGCTGCAGGTGGCGCAGAGGGAGCTGGTGTTTGCCCGCCGCCGAGGCATAGAGCTGCGCTTCTACAAGGAGAAGACAGAGATCCTCAGCTTGGCTCTGAGTCAGGCATATATTCACCACACACCTGAGGCCTTCAGTGAGGCGTCCAGTCACCCATACAAGCAAGAAGAACTTCCTCTACACACATTATTCAGCCACATCACAGACGTCCAGATAACCCCACCCTGCAGTCCTTCACCACCCCTCCAACAAACACAAAGGAAACAGTCTGTCACACCTCTGGCAAACACTTCAGCTCATAACAGTCCTGCTCCGTGCTCACAGTACACATTTCTGCCTTGATTTTAAAATAGACGGAAGCCGAAAGTAAAGGATGGACTTTGTCTTTGTAATAGAGCTAAAACTTTTTCACTGGAGATGTCACATCACATCTATGTAAACCTTAGAGTTCTGTTAAAAAGATTGTGCTAAGTTTTGTCTATATACTAATGTTCTAACCTTACGTACGCTCTTTTGTGACTATAGAACAAGGAACTTGAGCTAGATAGGGTATTTTAATCTCCTACACACCAGAAAAGCAGCATTCAAATTAGTTAAATTCATTTGCTGGATGTAGTTAAACTATAAAAAGTGTCTGGCTCTCTAAGTTTGTATGAAGAGCACTCTGCTTTCCTGCCTTAGCTTGTATACTGTATAAGTTCAGTTGTGTTTTCGTTTTGCCTATATTATGATTTAAACAGGAGTTTAAAAATGATATATTTAACCCTGTTACTATTCAATTAAATTAAATCAATGAACTACTTTATCTACCAGCAACTCCTCCCTCCCTGCCTCACTCTTCCTTTCTTCTTATCTGCCTAGCATGTCATCTGGCATGTCAATTCCCTAAATGGAAATTATTTGCCAAGGCAATTCAGGATACTGACGGACCCTGTGACAAGTTGCATGATGTGTTGGAGGTCTGCTATGAGACAGTAATAAATCACACATGATGTCATTATGTCAGAGAGAAGCTGGATATAAAATACAACCTGGTTTGTATTTATCAGGACACAACAGGATGGCTGGTCATGTCATCATTTTAAGAACTAGCAAAATGTTCCTCATTGTAAAAATGCATAGTGATTTAGAGCATTTGATTATCTTTGGTTGGATTGGTTGGTGGAAATGAACGTATTTTAAAGGGAAAATGTTTTGTGTTTTTTTATCATTTTTGTACATGTTTGGAAATAAATATGTTTTGCTACTCATGACCTGCCTGTTGATTCACTGCTTTTGAAAGTGTAGTATGGCCTATTACAGACATGATCACATATTATTCTGAAACTGGCCCTTCTGTAAATTGAATACAATTGTTTATGTACATGAAGTATGTTTTGATGCTAATATTTTTTTTTCTTTTCTGTAAGTTTATTAGATTGATGCATGAATTTTACATGTTACATAGTATTTGTACTCTTTAGTTTTGCTGCTTTTACTGAAGTAAAAATACTACAATACAATACTAATACAAAGTACTTCTATTATCACTGAATTCCATTGGGGTTTTCTGGCAAAAAATATCTTGATATCAACGAGATATCCTGAATCAAATTAGATCTAGCAGTGAAGGGAACTAAACATACCCTGGATAAACATTTCGTGCTTTGTTGAGACCACCAGACTCAGGAATAGTTTTATCCCAGAGGCAGAACGACTGCTAAACTCATGAGCTCTCCGAAGTGCCTACATAACTTTTAAGCATTTATTTGTTCGCATTTCACATATGTATTTGTTATTAAAATAAACATTTTTTCATTCCTGTACAGTATTTCATTTTACATTCAATTTGCAGCTTATTTCATTCTATTTTACATGTATATAGTTCACTTCTCCTGCATTTCTTGCACATTGGTCACTTTAACCATTCTCTTGCCCTATTTTATTACGATTCCGTTGCTTTTTGCACTATTTCGAATTGTCTTATTGTTTTATGTCTAATCTATTTACGTTTCATTGTTCAAGTAGCCCGGGACTTAATGTTTTGTTTCCATTGCCATATCTACACTGTAGATACTGTGCAAGTGACAATAACACTTTGCATGTTGAGTCGTTTGGGCTCTCTGGCTCACCGTAGAGAGGTGGAGTTGTCACGTGATTAAAGATTGTGATTGCGGAGTTCCTGGAAGAAACAAAACAAATGACAGCTGACCAGCGGACGAGGCTCCTGCCGCCTGTCACTCTATTCGACGTGTGGACATCTTATTTTGATAAGGTAAGGAACAATAAAAAATGCTTTAAGCGAATAGAGTTGTTAGGAGAAAGACATTGAAACGAGCTAACATCTACGTGTTAGCTTAGCTTTGCATTGGTAAAGCGTCTACAGTTGTTTTGCTAACGACAGCTGGAGATTATTAACAGGGATTGGTTTTGTTTCTCCTGAAAAGTGTTCCCTAGATATTGTATCTATGCTGAAAGACATGCTAGTTGTTTCCTTGCCTTGAAAGAGACGTTTTTTTCTCAGCGGCCACAGAAGAGTGTTTTGTTTACAACCCGTGAACAGTGTTTATCTTGACAACACAGCCAGCCACTTACTGCTGCTTATCGCGGGACAGACCATGCGAGCTATTCCAGCTAATGGTTTGTTTTTGTCTTTATCCGGTTAAGGTGTGAAGATGTTGGTTGTCAGATGATCAGCAGTGTTTCCTTCCGGAGACATCTCGGTCAGCTGGATGTCAATGTGATCTGAGTTGCGTAAAAAGCTGAAAGATGGAGGCTGTAAGACCAAAGAGAACCAAAGCAAAAACCAGCGGAAAATCTCAGGTGATCAAACAGTTAATTCTTCTTTCTTTAAGGTAGAAATTCTGTGCCTGTCAAGTTGTGGTCTTGTTAGGCAGGAGGATAGATGTATTCAGTCCATTACAAAGCAAGAAAACACTTATTCTCACAGCTACAGACTAATGAGAGTATCCAATCAAACATTGTTTTATGTCTTAAGCAAAACTCGTTTTATATGACAGAGCTAATCACTGGGACACTATGCTGTTCCGATAATATCATTTTTTAGATCTGCCATATTCATGTTGTGATGTGTTTTTGTTAAGTGTTCGTGTAGAATGTCATATATTTCTTTAGTTTTCTTGTCTTCTAACATCTTGGGATCATGATGGAATTAAAAATGTCACTTTAATTTGTTATCTTTTAGATGTTATGCTTCTGTATTTGACATAATCCATAAATGAAATCAATCAATCAATCATCATGGTGTTTTCACTTTAGTCACATGCTCTTTGTCACAAGTGGAAAAAAGCTACATACCCTGAGTTACCAATTACTTTTTATTAATAATGTATTTGTATCTGATTTTGTTTTCTACATGTTTTCAGCTGGTCAGAAAGCAGAAGCAGGCCGAGGAACAGAAAGGTGCCACAGCTCCCTCAGCTGTTTGTGATGAGGCCTTCACTGACATCCCCCTCAGCCTGTCCTATCAGGAGCCAGTGGAGGAGCAACGGGACTCTGTTCAGACCCCCAAGATCACAGCACAGCCATCAGATCGACCCTCTGAGAAACATCAGACGTCCTCATCACATACTTTATCCACATCAGTTCTAAATCAGACTTTACAATCACTGCTGACGCCACAGGAGACGGTACCTCTGACAGAGTCAAAAGATGAAGAAGAGGAGGATGGGGGAGTTGCCGATCAGGGGGCCGAGCTTAAAGTAGAAGAACAGAACACTGAGTTAGGAAATGACACACAATCATGGAACCAGCCTTGTGTTTCAACTCAGTTTCAGATCCCACATGCCCCGAGTGCCCCTGCACTGTACCCATGTCTCCCAACCCTGGAGGAAGGCCCCATGATGTCGCTCTGTCAAGAAGCCGTGAAAGAGAGGGAGAAAGGACCTGCAGTGTTGGCGCTTCCTGAGCAGGAGTCCTCCCTTCCAAGTTTTCAGCTTGTTGAATCTGTTGCAGAACTTTCTAGGAGAAAACTTTACCCAGAACTACCCAAGACAGCTCCAGAAATGCAGGTACTGTGATCTCATTCACCAAGCGAGGACATCAAATTAGATTGTTCCGCTGTGGGTTGTTTTAAACAGAAAATGACTTAATGGATACAACTAGAGTGTTTATTATACTCTTGGAAATGTCAGCTTATAAATAAAAATATATCCTTCTAATGCGACTGCACATAAATTAACCAATTCAGCAGATTATTTTTGATCTCTCTGTCAATTGCCTCTACCTGTGGTTATGGTTCAAACCATATCAGTACCAATTATTTTTGATAAATATATATTCATCATTACACAACATTATAATAGCACATATAAACACATGTGAGTGCTTTTAATGCTTAGATCCAGGTAATAACATAGTGAACCATTTTCTGAACTCATTGTGTCCATGCAAACATGTGAGAAAACCTCTCTCATCTCATGTTTTTCTTTTGCAGCCGTTCTCACTGGAGCAGCTGAGTGTGTGGGAGCCTGCCGGAGGTTTGAGGGCCTTGTTAGAGGGTGTGGAAGTGTGTGCAGCCCAGTTTTGTGGCCTTGCCCGGCAGGAGAACCACGAACTGACCGAACTACTGCAGAACTACTGGCGCTGTCGTAGACAGCTTACTCAGTCACACACACAGCTCCACACACAGTCCTCGGACTGCAAGAGCACTCAGAATCGTCTCTGGAGCTTCAGAGATGAACAGCTCACACTTCAGGTATGGTGGTAAACACATAAATATAGTTTGTAGGGAAAACAACTAACTAATGTCCTTTTGCTCTAATGACATTGTTGTTATTAATACTTCTCTACAGGGTTTGTGTGCAGATCAGTCGAAGGTGTGTGGATACCACCGCTTCCAGCAGGCAGAGTTCAGTCAGAGTGTGCTGGCCGAGCTGAGCAGACTGTTTGAAGCTCGCAGTGAGCTGCTTCATCAGAAGGTGGCGCTTCATGCCTACACTGCTCTGCTGTCACGCCTCCAGGTGGAATCATACTTGTACGGCCTTCTAAAAGGTGAATACATTTCCATTCACCAACATGTTGCTCTAAAAAGTCAAGCCAATGTTGAAGTGACTTAAAATGTCATTGTAAAAAGAAGAGTAATTGTACAAAAGTCTTAGACAAAATTACTTCACTTGATTGATTGCCTCAGTAAATGTTCTCTCAAGGTCCCTTTGAAACGAGCGATTGAGAGCTTAAACTCAATCTCTATTTTCAAGTGACCACCACAATTCCTGACATACAGCCCGCGCACCAACTCTACATCAGCTATGTGTTTTATTTTTATCAGATTGTTCCGGCAGCAAAACACAGCCTTGTTCTCTCCGACCCTTGAAAGAGGCAATCAGTGTCCTGTTCAGCTTCACTCGTAGAGTCCTGGATGACACACCGTTCCAGACAGACATCCATCAATGGCTGGAGAGATTGGTACTCATACACACACAAACACATTTCTTACTCTTGGTTACATTAGTTGACATTTGTTGTTGTTCAACTGGTTGTGGTGTACTCTCCAGGTGGCGGTGCTGCTGCATGTTGGAGGGTCAGGAGAGCACCTGTACCTGCTGTGCCATCTTCTCTGCTCTCCTGCGGGGGTTGGCAAATGGGCTGCACCCTTCCTTCAGGTTAGTAACACACACACAATATATCATTTATTGTTGCCACATTAGTTGTTTTACATACTGACTGGAGTTTTCTTTCCTATTTCTGCCTCAGATACAAGTTTGGGGAAACACCAGTGGAGTGCAACACTTTATGCAAGCTCTGGCCGTCCTTATGTCACCTACAAGGTAAATATTGAACCCCATGTGGCGATTACTCTTTCTAACCCGCTCACTGTTAACAGTTCAGTATTTATTTCTTTGGTTGTCCAGGATATTCTTTCAGGTTCTAACAACCTCACATCTCTAACCAGTGACTTGTGTGTTTTGACTCAGACACCGTGCAGAGTTTCTGGGACATCTGAAGCCATGTGAGAGCCAGAGCTCAGCAGCCTCTGGACCCGCCTCTGGCAACTGGACGTTAGTGGATGAAGGGGGGGAGGAGGTATGTATAGACAGGCAATATCTGCATTTTGAGAAAAGAAACAAAACTCTGACACAGTTTTAAAACGGATAAATAAAATGGGGATAAGTCAATATGTTGGACGACTGTAGATGCTTTCATGGTAAAATGGAAAAGTTGTTAATAAGAAAACAGCCAATAACCAATTTATTTCGTCTATATGATTCCATTAAATAATAAGTAGAACACTTAATACTAAAAGAAAGTATATGTTCTGTTTTGCCTCACTAATTGCATTGCCATTATATTAAAAAATAAACAGTCTGAATGTCTCTCAAGAAAATGCGATGTGTCACTGAGGATGTCAGATGATGAATATACCGGAACGTTCCGGTCTTTGTTCTCATC